CAGGCAGCACAAGTGCTCTGATAATCGGAGACAAGAGCCGAGGACAGTGTACAGTGGGTCTTGTTCACCTTGGTGCCACCGGCCACCCAGCATGTTGCCTGTTTATGGTCATCACTCATGTGTAACTTGCATTATGTGGTCCCTCTACTCCAGACACCTCAGCCAGAGAGTGGGGGGCCTAGAAGGAGGAAGTTGTGACCAGAGGATGGCGTGGGTGGAGGCAGGCTCTGTTCCATGGAGTCTTCCTGGCAGCCAATTCAGACTGAAAATCCAAGAAGCAGATTTACAGCCCCCCTGAGCTGTCCCAGACCCCCAGGCAGCACGAAGTCCCAGCTGCCTGGAGTCATGTTGGGGACAAGGAGGGGCTCCTGGACCTCTCCTCCCTCCTCCTTTCCAAGCAGTAGCTTCTTGGCCAGGCTCAGGAGTTCAGCCAGTGGCCCAGAAGACCTTCTGTGCTGGGAAGGGAGGTGGCCAGGGACCTCAGAGGGTGCTGTGGGGGAGGGGTTCCTGGCGCTTAGAGGACTAGGAAGGGAGCAAGGACTCTGGAGAAGGGATTCCTGCTTGACAACCAAAGAAAATCCTGTGTGAAGGTCAATTTGAGGAAACTGAGGCAAGTGCTGCCTTCTTGGCCACAAAGGAGCCAGTAGAACGAGATGTCTGGATCTGTCCTCAGCGAGCAGCTCTGTGGCTCAGCCATCTAAAGGGGATTGCTGGTAAACAAGGGAAGCTGCATTGGTGGCCTGAGCTCTGCCACTTACTGGCACCTGACTTGGACAAGTGACTTTATCTCTGAGCCTGGGAATGGCGAAAATGATAGTATCACTTGCCAGGGCTGTCGTGTGATGACTTAATGCTGGCACGTGGTAATCGATAAATGCTGTTATCACTGCACTCTGCTCTACTATGCCTGCTATTTGTGCTCACTTTGGAGGCTGGAGCCCAAACCTAAAGCATATTCTTCAGCCTCACTCCAGCATCCTCCACTGTTCCCTCTTGGGAGCTGGACCTGGGTGACACCTTATCTCTGGTGTTGTAGCTGCCCCACCAAACAACTCACTGGAAAAGGTCCCGGGGGTAGTGGGGTGTGGATGGAGTTATCCCTGGGTGTGTACCTTCGCTGCTTTTTGGAGAAACTTACCACTGAAATGGCATCACTGCGGGAGTTGAGGGTGGATTAGGACACAGATATCAAGACAAGTCTCAAACTTAGTTTATTCAAAGTCCAGGGCCAGCCAAGGATTTCTTGCCCTGTTAATGTGGGTCTCCCTCCAAGGGAGCCCCGGAGAAGCCCCAAGGACCTTGGACTGAACAAGTCCTTCGGGCCCACCCTAGACAAGCCCTGAAGCATTACAAGGCCACCTTCCTTGGTTACTTGTCTCCTGAATCCCTCCCAGTGCTTGTGTACTTGGAGGAGGACTCCCAAAGCACCAATACCTCCACCTCAAGCTCCAGAACCACTTCCCGGGGTTAGGTTTCTGTGAAAAGCGTCAGCCCCATCCTAGCATCTCTAGCTCAGCAGGTGTAGCTGAAGATTCCCAAGTTCCTTTCCATGTCTTCATCAGAAGACAGAGCTGCTAAACTGGCTGGGGTAGCTTTCCTGTCCAAGCAAAAATAAAACTGGAAAATCCTAACATAACAAAACACTACTGCCAATACCAACGGGAGTAAAGTTTTTCTCCCACAGTAGGTCTTTGCAGGGGAGAGTCATAAATACAGCAGTTTCATTTTGTTAACATGGGGCTTGGGGACTGAAGGATTTTGCATGATCTCTATTGGCTGGTCATATAGGCTCTTCCTACTTGGAGGAACAGAGGCCAACGTCTACTCTAGGGGGTTTATAGAAGCCTTAGACGTACTCTTAAACATTCAAATTTAGCAAATATTTTCATAAAATGTTCATGTTTCACTGAGAACCAACAAATTACAAGAACCTATTGCTGGACACAGGCTTCCCCTGATCTGTATATAAGCAAGCCCTTCTGTTCATGTCTTATTTCATGAGCAAGCAAATAATTTTAGTACTTTCAGGAAAGTATATTTCCAGATTCATAGACTCTGAGTTGGAAGGGACCTAGGAGCTCCCATGAAGGTGAAGTTCCACCGTCTGCTTGCACATTTCTAGTGAAAGATAATTTGGTGTTTCTCAAGGGAGCAGAGATTTGTTATAGGGTAGCCAGCAAGCTGTCCTCCTGTGCATCCATCCTCCCATCCATCCATCCAATATTTATTAGCTACTGGACTGGGCAATGGAATCACTTCTCCTCAAAATTATCTCATTAGTTTGATAATGAACACCTCTGGTCACCCCACCTAAAGAATAAAGAAACAGGCTTCATAAAAAAGTAACTTCTTATTACAAAAACAATATGTGAACAACTAGAAAATATGGCTAAACCAAAACACATAAATCAAAAAGCACCCATAATGTCATTAGGAAGATGGGGTCTTAAGTGGTCCTTTCCACAGACTTCTTTCTTGATGCAATAACCTTCCCCTCACCACAGATCTCTGCGCAGTTGGACATCAATTCCCTAAGGAACTACATTCAACACACACTTCTAGTCCAACTTCTCCAAGGGTTGCAGGATTTGTGGACCATGCCATTCGTCCCCCACCTGCTGACCAAGCACCAGGAACTCACCTGGACAGAGTGCAGGCAGCCTCCTAGAAGGATCATCAGCCCATCCAAACCAGTTCACATGTCCTGAGGGCCTGTCTTCTTCCCTGCTTCGCAAGCCACAAAAGTAAACGCCGATGGACTAACTAACCAGCCTTCCTTCCCCTCTCCCCGTCCCCAATAAGTGGCCCAAACCATTTCATAGCAAAATGGCTCACACTGACAGCAGTAGCTCTTACTATTTATTGAGCCCTTACTAACGCCAGGACAATTCCAAGCACTAGGCAAATTATTTGTCTTTTTAAATCTATCCGTCCTTTTTCCTATTGTTTTTAGAGAACCAGTGGGTTATACCTCTCTGAGCAGGCCTGGCACCTAGCACAGACTTGCTACAACCAGCGGATGCTCAATGACACTGTGGATGATGAGCAAAGGTCTACAACCTTCAAGGTAAGCATTTCAAATCTGGCCTCTGGGGCTCTGATTTTGAAGCAGGAGGTCATTTCGCACTCACTGTGGGCATTGTCACTGGTGAGCAAAAAAGGGAGGGGAACTGCATCTGGACCCCCCTTCTGCCCCATCTGCCTCCCCCGTTGTACCAGCTTTAATGGAAGACACTTCAGAGAGGGGAACAGAGAGGCTGGCGTTGACTTCCCTACTGAGAGGATGCAGGGCTCCCTGCCCCATCCATCATGCATGGACTCCAGCTGATACAGGAGCTTCCTCCAGGCCTCCTACCTGCCCCTACACACTCCAGGGTGAGTCCCCACACCCCCTCTTCCCTTGGTGGCAATGACTAGGTGCTGTTTCTGCAGAGCTGCCACCGAGGGAGGCCCCACTGGCAAGCAGTGAGAGGACATGGAGTAGAAACAACAAATAAGCTGGGAGACGTAGCTGCCAAAACAAACCAAATGCAAAAGGGCTGCTGCCACCACCTCAGCTGGGCCCAGGCCAGGAGCACAGAGACAAGCGCACAGCTGTGCAGGGAGACACATAGTTCCCTCCAGCTCCCTATTTCGTTACTGGGGGGCTCCTGGGCAAGGGAGCCTTGCAGTCAAGGCTGATAGGGAAACTGGGCTGGGGGCAATAAGGGGGACCTGACAGAAATATATCCAGCCTTGTCTCCCTCAAGTCTCCCCAGTGTTTCCTGCTTTCTAGCTGCTGAGTGACCCTCCAGTCCCAGAACACACCCTGCCTGTTCACGAATCCCCTTTGTGCATATTGACCCCTCAGCCAGATTTGCCATCTCCCCTCTTTCCTGCCTGGTAAACTCCTATTCATCCTTCAGAATCCAGGTCAAAGGCGAAACCATCTCAAACCCCACCAGGAAGTCAACTGTTTCCTTCTCCACATTTCTATATCCTAGGTACTCTTTCTTCTTACATAACACATCTTACGCATTTCACAAAAGCTGGTATATCCACTTTCTCAGTTAAATGGTGAACTCCTTGAAGGCAGGGGCTGTTTTAGACTCATTTTGTATCCTCAGGGCCCAGCCCAGATGTTGACTCACAGTAGGCACTCTGCACTCTGTTTAGTTGTTAGAATAAAGCGCTAATCCTTACGTGACAAGTTATTTCCTGAGCTGCTGGCAGTCACTTCCCCAGCATCAAAGGAATACTCAGAGGAATCCCTCATCAACAGGAATACTCAAACCAGAGGGAGAGATTTTGATAAATGAGAAGGCTGATTTTCAGAACCCCAAACCAACCTGCCTTCAAGCAAACTAAAGCCAAGTTCTGTTACTAGCCTTTAGATCAAAGGCTTTCAAACTCTTGTGACCTCGACCAACAGCAAAATTTACGTCATAACTATTATATATGTGTCTA